GTTATCATGACAAGAGAAGGAAGGATCTTGAGTTTCAAGAAGGCGACCATGTGTTTTTGAGAGTTACACCGGTTACGGGTGTGGGTCGTGCTTTGAAGTCGAAGAAATTGACTTCTCGTTTTATTGGGCCGTATCAGATTATTGCACGAGTTGGTGTTGTGGCTTATCGTGTGGCGTTGCCTCCGAGTCTTTCGAATTTGCATGATGTGTTCCATGTTTCGCAACTTCGGAAGTATGTTCCAGATCCGTCACATGTGATTCTTATGGATGAGGTTGAGGTAAGAGATAATCTTACGGTTGACGTTTTACCGGTTAAGATTTTGGACCGTGAAGTTAAGAACCTAAAAGGCAAAGATATTGCGCTGGTGAAAGTAGCATGGTGAGGTGCTGCGGATGACAATATGACTTGGGAATTGGAGAGTAAGATGCGTGAGTCGCATCCAAAGTTGTTTGGATTAGGTAATATTTTCGAGGACGAAAAATTCTAAAGTGGGGGAGAGTTGTAACTCCCCAATTCTGAATTCCCATTTATTTGAGTCTTTATTTAATTTATTTAAGTGATCGTTATTTTAAATGTGGAATTTGTGTTAAATATGTTATGAGTGCATATTGTGTTATTTTTGCCGACTTTGAGAGTTTCGGATAAAAAAATAGGTCGGAGGGTATTTTGGGTATTAGTAATTATGTTAAGTGGATATTTTATGAGAATCGATTAATTAGTGTGTGGAAAGAATTTGAGAGGAAAGAAATAGAAACATGAGATAAGAAGGGGAAAATAGAGAAGTTAGTAACATTGGAAAGAAAAGAAAGGAAAGAAAGGAAGAGAAGAGAAAGAGGGAAGAAAGAAAAGGAAACCTAGAATCCATCAAGAACTAATCCAAGCTTGCAACTAATCAGGTAAGGGTGAGGAATTCTATCATCTTGATAATGTATGTAGCATGTATGCGATAGATTGGTTGTTGTTGGGTAGTTCTCTACATTTCCACTTTAGGTCGAAAATTGGTTTGATCGGTAGATGATGAGTTTTATCGGTTAGAATTCGGAATAGACGATACAGTTTAGTCGGGTGATGCGTGGGTTGTGCTACTAAGACCATTTTGGATTGAATCGGTCGGTTTTGTGAGGTTTGGGTTTTTGGACAGCCATGGAAGTTCTGAGTTCGCGAGTTCGCCAGGCGAAGCCTAGCGAGCAGCAACGAACCAAGTCAGTAGCAACCAGAACCAATTACCTTGTCTTCGCTAGCATGTTTGCCAGGCGAATGGGTGTGGCGAAGGTTTGCCAGGAGTTCGCCAGGCGAGTGTGCTGGCGAATAATTCCCAGTGGTCTTCGCTGGCATGTTTGCCAGGCGAATGGGTGTGGCGAAGGTTTGCCAGGAGTTCGCCAGGCGAGTGTGCTGGCGAGTAATTCTAGAATAATTCCCAGTGGTCTTCGCTGGCAAGTTCACCAGGCGGACGTTGCAGCGAAGGTTGGCGAATGCAGCAACATATTTTATTTTCTTGAGCTTCTCCATTATGGATTGGTTGTGTGGTTTGGTTGCGATCATTCCTTGTTCGAGGTGACTGATTATGTGTTGTTGTGTGTGCTGTGGGTAGCCGTATGGCGTAAATCTAGTTTATGATTTGTGTAGTGTAAAGTGTGGCCGGTTGGCAATTTTGTGCATTTGCTTAGTTTGTATAGAAATGCATGAGGAATTGATTGTGAATGTGAACCATGCTTGAATGGTGTGAATGAGTGACGAATATATATGTTTTATGATGTATATATTTTGAATGCATAAAATGAATATGTGCGATAAATGTGAAGAATGCATGAGTATGGTTGTAAACATGTGTGCATTTCAAGAGCGTCATGAGTCATGTTGCATGTGAAGCATCATGGTATGCATTCTTGTGTTGATTGATTCCTCGGCGAATCTGCAGAACCTCGTGTGCCCTTGTGGGGTGTAAGCGATGGTTATTTATTGATCCCTCGGTGGATTTGCAGAACCTCGTATGTTGCGATGGTTATTTTGATTCCACGTAGAATCTGCAGAACCTCGTGTGCCCATGTGGGGTGTGAGCGATGCTTATTTGGTTCTTCAATTGAACCTGTTTAATTGAGTCGGTACCGCATTTGCATCTGCATAGAGTCGTGTGTCGGTCTCTATGAGTTGCATGTTGAAGTCTTTGCATGATGTATGGTGAATAAACATAATTGTAAATGTTTATGTGAATTGTTGATGATTGGCATGATTGGTATGCTTGAAGAATACACGTATGTGCGAATATATGTTTATATGCATTATTCCTTATGATATCGTTTCTCACCCTTCTGCTGTTTTATAATGCTCTATGAGGCATTGCAGATTAGATTGATGGAGGTATTTTTGTGAAGCGTGACTTCATTTCCTTTTGGTCGGTCGACTCTGATATGTAGCACCGGGTAGATAGGATTCATTTTGATTCTTTTGTGATACATCTGAGTATGTATCTGCTGTTGATATGTTTTGTAAAACATGATGAATGATTACTATATTTGTGAATACACGTGTATGGGAATTATGAAATATTTGGATATTTCTGCCTCTGTTCTAAATATTTCTTGTGGGTTTTATCCCGTTGTTGCATATTTATTAAGCAGGTGTTGTATGTGTGGAATTTCTGTGATAATGTGATATTCCTCTTTTATGCCATGTCATAAATGTACTCTGATAAAATTTTGAATTTATGCTTAATTGATTTTTTGTGTTTTTGGGGGCATAGAAAAGGGGGGGGGGGGGGTTACATGCGACAAGGGATTCACGATATAGAACTTATCCTTGAATGAGCGAACAGATTCTTGGTATTCCCGAAACAACTTCCTCGGCTGCTTCAAGAATACCAAATTGTGCCTGGCCTTGGAGGATTGGTTCTGAAGGTGGAAGGTATGGAAGAACATACGAGCTCAAATGCCCGCACGAACGCTATGGCATTTGGGTGCAGTTGTGAGGGGGCCAGACGGAGCCAGCAAAACATGCGCCCTGGAATTCGCTGAAGGGGAGACGCACCCCCGCCTCGCGAAACGCAAACTCATACATAGATAACCTCATCTCCCGGAAGCTCAAGCATACGATGTGTGTTTATTTGGGTTTGTAAACCATCTAGCTCGCGGAAGATCCTTCCAAACGGTCCTCGACAGTTGCAAAGGCGTCCATATCATCAACGATGATGCGCGAGGCTATAGTTAGAGGTTCTTGCCTGGCCCAGTCCGCGGGCGTTCGAACGAGTGCAACCCCTTCGACCTCGACGGGAGTGTCGGCTCAAACTCATCACCGACATGGATAATGCATTCAATCCTTACAACCATTTTACCTGAAAAGCAGGGGAAAACAAAGAATTCAAATCCACCCTCCAACGCAAATCAAGTGAAAGGAGAAGAGAGAGACGGGGAAATTCGGGGACCATGGTCCCCTTCCCGGTGAAGGCTCATCCTACAAGAAAAACAACAACACGGGGACCATAGGCCTCCTCCCCAACAAATGAGGCTCCCAAATTGAGGTGACCCCGACACACGCGAATAGACCCTAATTGAACCTCCCCGCGACAATCACACGCTTGCGAGGAGCTAAGCTCCTCGAGGCTTTAATTCTAGCTCCCCGAGACCTTCATCAGAGGTCCCCGGGACATTCATCGACATCTTCATGAATTTTCCAGAATCCTCATGAAGTTCTCGGTGTCCTTGCCGGAAACTTCATATCTTTGCTGGAAATTTCATGAGACACATTGGAAAACTCATAGTTTCATCGGAAAACTCATAAAAATACATAGAGGAGGATCTGAACGACAGAGATCGGTGACAGATGTAGAAACAACGACGACGACGATAAAATCTTGGAGAGGATTTCGATAGGTTTAAGGAGCAAATGTGCAAGTGGGAGGGGCTTCCCCCTATTCATAAGTTTGGCACGAGAAGCGAGGCAACACTAGACACTCAAGTGCCCTACGCGTATGCGCCCCTAGGCTTATAATGCACGTGACACATGGCATTTGGGGACACCACGAACGTCCCTCTAGCTTCCCATCGTGCATTTGTTTTTTCAGCTCCCCGACACATTGCCTCATCGAGCATCTGTCACTCCTGGCCGCGCTCACAATCCTCAAAATTGTATATCGGGTAGACCACCATCCCCTGGACTGGTCCTCGACGCCCTAACTTGCTCTTAAGTCGTTACTCCTATGCTTAGGAGCAACGACTTAGGGGGCTCCTGTTCTGGACTGGGTCAAGACCTGCCCCATATACGAGCATACCCAACCCAATACTATGTCGGGGAAGCCCAACAAGGTCCAAACCTCCTCTGTCGGGAATGCGCCTTGGATGTTACTTGTGTTGGACTTGGAAATCCGACCCAATGCAAGGTAATTGTTGACCTTGCGCTGGGGGCAAATTATAAATACCCTATTTCACTAGAGGATCAATCATCTTATTCTCTAGACCTATTCTCTTTGTAGTTGCTCTTTCTAAAACTCCGTTACTCACTTAAGCATTGGAGTACCTTGCAAGTACACCCACTCCTCCTCTACAACGGCGGTGAACACATAAACTCACGACGTGTGGGAGGCTACTGATTCCTTTCTGATAAGGTGAGATCAATTATTTATCTATATTTTAAGTTGTTTAAATTATTTTTTTGCATATTAAATTGTTTTTGTTTTATTCTTTGATGTTTTTCTATTTTTCCCATTTCAAATCAAACACAATATTTATTAATTACTTATATATTTTTTGGATTAAAAATATTGAAATAAGTGAATTATTACTTACTATATTTTAATTTGTGTAAGTGGTAGGGGGGAGTGTACAAAGTAATATTTCCATATAAACTTAATGCCCGATTTTTTCAGTTCGGCCCAATCACAATGCCCGACCCACTGAATTCATTACAGTTAGGGTTTCAATAGAGCAGATATTTAGTTGTTTTGTTTTACAGCAACTGCGCTTTCAAAGCGGTAGCTTCTTCCAATCTCGGAACCGTAATTTCAATCATGGTAAGTCTGTTTAATATAATATAATTTGACACCTGATTTTGATTCCATGTTATTAATGTTTTTGTTTCCCTACTGTAGTCGATGAATACCATTATCGGAGAAGAAAGCAAGGTACGTATCAAGTTAGATACAGATTGAATGTCTCACTGTTTAATTCCTAACAATGTAATTGACGGTTACAGACGGAGGAGGAGATTGAGATGCCAAAGGAATCGTTACCGACGGAGGAGGAGATTGAGATGCCAAAGGAATCGTTGAGTGATTGCGCGCCTTCATCGGTTAAGAAAAATAAACATATTGCCGGTCTTGTTCGGATTTATGATGATTCCTCTAACAACACCTTTTTAGTCAGTATATGAATTTTCCTTATTCGTTAGTAGTATATGATTTTTTTTTTTAGAATTGATTTTAATTATTTGTTTTTATTGCAGCGTGTCACTAATGTATCTGATCCATCTAAAGGGGAAAGGGTATATTGCATGAATGGTATGGTTGAGTTGAGCCTGAACTCTTATATCAATCAATTTCATGTTTCCTTTTAATTAACATTATTAACATTATTCATCTCTCAGAACACCCCAATTTTTTGATGAGGACTACTTTTACTATACTTAAAGCATGGCAACTTGTCAGACGAATCAAGGTAAGCTTTCAACTATACCAAAATGCTTCTGAATGTTGATGTTGACCTAATTATGCATAAAGAACTCTGTGCCACTTCTGGAAACACACCTAGCCGTGCTGTTTATGCCGCTTCTGATATCCTTAAGCAAGCTCATATTATAGTTGACTATGTAACTGAGGTGACCGTGGACTAGAAGAGGCTTCATCTATTTCTTTATGCATAACATTTGAAAGCTCTTTTTGGATCTTTAAACTCTTTTAATTGATTGATATATTTTAATTTCATGATCATGTGTTTTTTGTGTTCATGTGGTGTTGAATGGTTATGCACTGGTTTTTTTATGTGAGTGTAGAATTGGAATAACACGATTCAACAATAATTGAACGCTTCTAAACGCAAAGGAAGTTTTAATGTTTAGTCATTGGTTTCCAAAAATAACAAAGTAAAATTGAGAGATGACAAAATATATAAAAAAGAAGAGGATTCAAATCCGTACAATTATACAACAACTAATAAATGAAGGACATAATAAAAGTAAGAAAGAAGTTTTAGTAAAAAATATTCACCAGAGATATTGGGACAAAACATCAATTTTTGACATGACATATTAAGGATTTGGTTTTAGTGAAATTTACAAAATTTGGTTGGTGACTAATTAGACAAATTGAAGTAGTTTTGACCAAAGAAAATTCAAAATCAAATTAAATAATTGTTCTTTTGATCTTATTCGAAATGCTAAATACACATGGAGATCAATCATAGGCAAGCGAGAACATTTTCTTTCATAGTAATATAAATACGAATTCTAGCATTAGAATTCAACGTGACAATTATTATTGTCAATTTCAATACATACTAAAAGTATCCATATACAATTTCAGAAGAAAATATATTTGCTTAGTAACTTTTACCCATACAAATAAAGTTTTTACATATTATTTACATTTACTTGTTGATTCTTGAAATGGTTGAAATTACGATTACTTTTACTTTTAAAATCAATCTTTTCCATTCAAACACTAGGCTCAATATGATCAAAATCTCATTGTAATGTGCAGCACAATCTCTATATATTAAAGAGAGAAGGCATGATGAGTTTGTCTTCGTCCATATGAGTTTGTCTTTACAAGTATGGGATCCTATTCCAATTTCGTGGTTGCTTTTTAGAAGGCACAGTTCATACACATTCTCTATCTAAGATATCCCCACTGTCATCTTCAGAAAAAAAATTGTCAGGAACGTTGCCTTTTAGAAGGCACAGTTTAGACACATTCTCTAAGATATCCCCACTGTCATCTTCAGGAAAATTTATGGGATCGTTATAGTTCCTAAGATTGTACATGTGAAAATTATCCCCATTAAAGTGACTAGCGTCCAAACGGGCACGTCCGTGCCCGTTTGTCCCCGTTTGTCCGCTTTTTTTATTGCGCTAACGCGCAAAAATATTAACAGCGCATTTTTTTTATAAATTTAATTTTACCATAAACTATTTATATTGATTTTAATATAAACTATTTATATGATGAAACATTAAGTTTTGTATTTATATATTGCTATAGATTAGTCAAAAGTATAAGAAGATTTAGATAGAAGAAGAACAAAAATATTTCTCACAATTTATTAAGCAACTAAAGATAAACATTAACACGAATATTAAGTTACATTATTGCTTAATAGGAAGGTCAACCATGAAATCAAAATCAGAAATATCTCTCGTTTCACTGCAAAACAAATGAAGTAGAACCTATAACGATCATGTTAGTAGAACCTATAACGATCCCATAAATTTTCTTGACAATTTTTTTCCTGACAGTGGGGATATCTTAGAGAATGTGTCTGTGCCTTCTTAAAGGCAACGTTTCAATCCTGTCTACTATCCACGCCCAACTTAATAACTCAAGGCAACGTTTCAATCCTGTCTACTATCCACGCCCAACTTAATAACTCATATACTCATCACCTGATACGTTTCAATCCTGTCTACTATTCACGCCCAACTTAATAACTCCTATACTCGTTGGGAAAAGCAATTCCTGCTTTGTATTTCCACAAAATGACAACTAGCTAAATTAGGATATTTCTTTTCTTTTCAAGTATGTATGCCTAGGGTTAAGTTAATCCATGTGAGAAAAGTGGTTTTTTTTCCATTCAAATGGGCAGAATGCAAGTGTTGTGGCTAGGTCGAGTTAAGTTAATCCATGCGAGAGAAGTGTTTTTTTTTCATTCAAATGGGCAGAATGCAAGTATCGTGGCTTGGCTAGGACGAGAAATCAAGAACGGTTGAGAGTAAAACACACATATGTTATCAATTAAGTTTTTAACACAATCTTTTCCATTCAAACACTAAGCTCAATACGATCAAAATATCATTGTAATGTGCAGCACAATGTCTATATTAAAGAACAAGTATCATGGCTTGGAACCAAGCTTATAAACTTCATTTTCACAATACAGGATATAGTTTCCTCTAAGAAGATTATGACTCCTAAAACTTGGCTCAATCTTTGATTCCTAAAGAAGGTAACACCAACTAACATTCAAGTTCACTCAAAATGTGGCCATATAAGGCTTTCTTGGTAAAGAGAGCAGGCCAGCCGATGAGTCATTTGACATATAAAATATAAGGCATACGGATGGAACACCGACGGAAGTTTAAATGCTCGACATCAAATATAGCAAAATCTAGAAGCCTTTCAAATAGCATAATGAGTTTGTCTTCGTCCATAAAGAGAGGAATTACAAGTATGGGATCGTGAGGAAACTCCATGGAGAACATCCTATTCCAATTTTGTTAGATGAGTTAATTGTTTCCTTGGCAGAAACCTACAGCTGTGCCATAATGACTTGCACAGGATCATTGGATCTTTACTTAAACGTACATCTATTTTGCTGAGCATTGTGATGTGTTGTTGCATCTGTTTAAAAAAAAACATTTTCTCTGCTTGATTTGGTGAGTGGTGACTTCGTGTATACACTGAGCAGTTTTTGTTGAAGTAAGTTGGACATTGTCATGTTTTTTTTTAGGCTATAACTTCACTGATTGAAACTGTCTTGAGTCTTAAACTGTCCAAATGGTGCTTGCTCATTTTGTAGTTTTAACTGTCCTTGTTGCAGTATAAGGACTTTGTGTTTGTTGTTTGGATTGTGTGATGATCAAATTGTCACTGACTGTTCTTGAGTGAATCCATCCACCCTATGTGTGTTTGCATTGTTGACTGTCATGGAGGATGTATGCTTGCATATCAAAAGTAGTTGTTGTTTTCTGTTTTCAAACAAAATTCTTTTGGACTTGGTTTCTGTATTGAAAGGTTGTTGATTGTAATGACTATGCTGCTGCTTAAGTCAGTTTGAGTTATAGGTGTTTGCTTAGTCTTTGTGAAAACAGTGATGTTAAAACTCCTCATGAGTGTTTTCGAGACCTTTGATTTTAATGTTGAGACAAGTTGCATTGGTCTGCTCATGGTTTTTGTTTTGTACCAATTGTTTTGAACATATATGTCTTGTATATGCTTTGTGTTTTGCTATGTCTTATGAATCATGATTGAAATCCTGCCATGAGCTGTTTGTTAGTTTGATATCATAGGTCACAATGTCTTGATTACTTATGTCAACAATATCATGTTGTTCTATTGCAAACCAACTGCCATGACTATGCTGTTTCTAGATTTTTGAAATCTTTTACTGACAGTGTGATTTGAAGATTCATAGATGTTTGATTCAGTTTGTATGCAACTCTTGACATGTTGAATTTGTATTGCTTGATGTCGTTCCATTCTGTTTTCGTTCTACCATTATGTGCTGTCCATTTTCAACTCATGTTCAAATCTTTGCAACTCACATACCATTTTTTGGTCCAATGTGTTTTGAATAAACTCTCCTGTTGGAACTCATCACATATCACATTTAAGACTTGCTCAGACCCTCACTTGTTTTTTTGAACTCATTTGTTTTGTTCCATAACTCCACAAGTGCACTTCAAGTTCATCTTTTGCATTTTCAATCAAATCTTATCATGTGTGCATCATTTGGAAATTTGGTTGGTATCATGGTGATCCTTGTGAAAAAACAAGCAAGTTAGGCTTTTGTTTCTTTAAAATTGATAAAGATTTGATCAAGTTTGGATCAAAACGTATTTTGGTTTTTTTTGCCTTGAATCTTGTCTAGCCCAGCCCAGTTTGTACGCATGTATTTGGTATTTGTTTCAAAGGGGTGGCGTTATACAATGGATGTATCGCCACCCCAGTGGTTAGTGCCTTGCCTTGCTATGCCGTTTTTATTTATTTTTCTCACTCCTGTTCCCAATGTTTTTCCGGAAAACATTGAACACGAAGTTCTTGTTTTATTCTCTCCCAAGATGCTAGTTGAACTGAGTCATGCATTTCAAGGGTGGAGAGATGTGATATCAAACTCAGAATTTTGTAAAAAGAATTTTCTACTCGCAGGGAGACAACATGTTCTTTTGAGGGAAGAATTTGCTAATGATAATGACGAGGATGAAATAACACTTGGACCTATAGTATTCTATCGGCAATTCATTTCCAACCTAGAGTTTACTCTTGAAATGAATGACAACCGCCCGTTCAACTACTGGATTCTCTTTTTCTGGCAGGTTTGAAAACAATTGGGTAACAGTTTTTGATGGTCTATTTTGCTCCGAGAATTGGGAAATACAAGCAAATTGAGGGTTGGAACCCGGTATCAGGTTACCACGAATTAGTACCCTCTAGAGAGGCTATAATTTTCAAATGTAAGGAATAGGAACCAGACATGTATTAATTTGGGCTAATTTACTTCAATCAATTAATAATTTCAAATGGTCTATTTCTAGATAACACTATCTATAGAATAGATAAGACTTATGCAATTGTCTCTTATGATCATGTTATCAGAACTTATAACTAATCCCATAAATATTTCTGACAATTTTTTTCGACAGTGGGATATCTTAAGAGAATTGTATATGAACTGTGCCTTCTTTTACTTGTCTACTATATACGCCCAACCTAATAACTTCTATACTCATTACCTATGGATGTTCATGCTATTTGAAAGGCTTC